ACCCTCAATAACATTGTATTTCTTAACGTCGAGTCCACCCTCAATAACATTGTATTTCTTAACGTCGAGTCCACCCACAATATCATTGTATTTCTTAACGTCGAGTCCACCCTCAATAACATTGTATTTCTTAACGTCGAGTCCACCCACAATAACATTGTATTTCTTAACGTCGAGTCCACCCTCAATAAGATTGATACTTAACAATTTCATCTTATATCACTTTTAATAACGCCACCTCTCACTTATGTAGGATACAATGATAATATGATGTTAGTCTGTAGGAGTTTATTTTTATATTTTATAAATTTCAGAGTAACTTAACACAAAATGTCGAGATAAATCTAGAAAAAGTCCAAGACTTAACCTCTGTGCCTGATGAATTGACGCCACTGGATGTTATTTATACTGCGACTGTATTAGATGGTATTTCTAAATCAGATAATATTACACAACAGGTGAGTTCACATCTTTCTATTATTATAATAATTACTTGCAATGTTTCTATTGTGTGTCCTTATTTTGTGCAAAAACAACCATTTTGTTGTTTTATAACTGACTGATGTTGCAACGCCATAGTTCTAACTTTTATTCAAATGATATTAAACGAATCAATGCTTTCTCCTTTTTGCATTGTATTAAAACCTGAATCCTGCGTGTTAAAACCTGAATCCTGCGTGTTAAAACCTGAATCCTGCGTGTTAAAACCTGAATCCTGCGTGTAAATTAGTAGGTGGTTACATAGTACTACTATGATGCATTTAGAATTAGTGTAGACTGGTATGATTTAAACATAATAAAATGATTAATACATTGAAATAATATTCCATTCATTAATTTGACGATTGTTATATTAGCCAAGTTGTTGATACGAATCTTCTCTTGAAACACAGATGTCGAAGAACCTTTTCTTATGCTTTAAAACTGTTAATTTTATCTGTGGGCACTGGGTATAAGAAATACTTGTATATGTTCTGCAAGTAAAATCTAGAGTGGACCAAATATCATTATTGGATGTAACGTTAAAACAGATTTTACTGTATATTTTCTTCCAGGGAGCCATTAATTTTATCAACATTATCAACAATATACAAAATTCTAAAGAACAAGTTGTCACAGAAGCAAATGAGAAAGTCAACATTTCAAACAAGTAAATGAGTATATATTAAAGAGGTATTATATAAAAGCTAAGGCTACCTTTTGCAGGTCGATATTTTGGCTTCAAATGTTATATAAACTATTACTGAAGCAGTTATTAACATGACAAGCCTATAATAATCAACTCTCTAGGTCATTCGGTGGCTCAGATTTTAAGTACATTAGAAAACTTCGACATTTTAATGATTTAATTTACAAACGGAGAAGCGAGGCTAAGTCTCTAATAACCAGTACTGTAATTTCGATAATAAACAATCGATGCCAAATATTGTCACACATCAAACAGTAGTGTATGTATAGAAAAACTATTACTTTTGTTTCTCTATATTTCAGACTGATTGCTAGCTTAGATGAACTCGAACTGAGAATTCCCATAGATGAGGATGATAGCCATTTTAGATTAGTAACCAATAAAACAGTAGTAGAAGTTTGGAATCTGACCAAACTAAAGAGAAACCCTGTAATTGGTCTGTCGGTAAATGGTGGGGATTCTGATCCAGTAGATATATTTGAAAACAGTACCCAATCGTCACTGTACAAAGAAATTCAACCCATTTACAAAACAAGGACTGTTGGGATTATGTTAAATAAACAGTTTGTTAGAAGTATAATAGAAGGTAGAGTTTATAGATGAGTTTTATCAAACTGGATATCTGGTGTTAAGTCTTGATCATTTAGTACTAGATTTGTTTATTGATTAATTGGGTTTATTCACATTGCTATTTTTAGTCTTGTTTTATTTATTCCAGAGAAGAATAGAAGTGATATACGACTATCTATGCATGTATTCAATTCCAGTAATCTTTTTATCACTGATAATAATGGTACAGTTAATAGTAAAGTTATATCAGCTACATTAACTATAGATAAAACACGTGTTGTAACTTTAAATGGTTCATTTGTCACCACAGTTTTCTTTCCACAAAAAGTAAGTTTTAATTTATTATATATTGGGTAATTTCTGGTTGTTGTCCTGAGGTTACCACTAGTATTTAAAACCCAGGTTTAGAATATCATTACAGTACAATGGGTAGCTTAATTTTTTCTAGAACACGTAATAACACTTCCTAAACTCCAAGTTAAAACTATCTCCTAAGCTAGCAATAAGAAATTTAAGGGGTATCATGTTATACGTTTGTGTTACGACACTTAAGTGTTTTCTTAGAGGATTAACAGTTTCAAATTAACAGTCAATAAATGACGTTTGCTTTTATGTGATTTGACTTGTGTGTGAGTTCTGCGAAACAGATTATGCCTACATGACACAAGACACCGGGATTCTGTATATACAGACTACTAGGTTTGTTCAACATGGCTTGATTATCTACCTAATATTAATTAGACGATACAACGTCGTCAAAAGTAGTTAATACTCGCCGGACATTAAGGAATTACCTCCCTCCGTTGCACTCATGTGATTTTAAAATAAATCTGAGATATTTAGATGGACGTTAATCAGGCTCTATTGCTAAATGTCCTACTGTATGTAGAGCAGTGTCTGGTAATTTGATCCAATTAGTTTAATGTTTATGGATTGTGATATTTATATTATCTTGATGAAACTCATAATCTATTGTAGCCTATACACGATCCTGTTTCTTGTTTTTTATTCCAGGTTTTACCAGATAAATATCGAGAGAAATACAGTCGTTGTGTATTTTGGGATTTTAGTTTAAATAATTCGCGTGGTGGTTGGTCGAATGACGGTTGTCATTATGTGAACACAACAAAAGAGCGAGACGTCTGTGTTTGTGATCATTTAACAAACTTTGCTGTTCTTTTGGTAAGAAACTTTTAAACAGTGTGTTTTATTACCTCCCTTTTGAGAAATATGAAGGATATTTATTACTTCGAAAACGCAATATATGACGTTTTATCAGATGAAATGAAATGGGGTTTGACGTCCTCCTGTGCTGCTCCCACTGGGCCAATGAAGACAGGCATACGCCATACAGTGTGCTATGAGGGAAATTTTGCCCGGGCAGCGGCACTATGGCTTACGCTTATATCGAATTCCAACTGGCAAGGATCTTTTACGTGCACGTCAATGTATACACCGTACCTCGGTTTTTGGTACCATCCGAACTACTAGACATCTGTCCAGCACGCAATCTCCTAACGTTTAATGATAACAATTCTAACTAGGCCATTTGTGTTTGAATGCGTTGGATGCAATACTTGACGGTACAGCAAATGGATACCCTGAACTGTGATTACATTTAATACAAGGATACTTTGATATAATATTGCTTATAATTAGAATTATAAAAGGATTTTTATTAGTTTCATTATGTTTTTCTTTTCAAATATACAATATACCGATAATATACATTGTGTTCTACATTTATATCAAAACATTTTCGTAATAAATATGGCGAACTTACATTCTCTGTGTATATCCAGTTTAGAGGTGAACACGTTACTAAGATGCAGATTCCAAGATGGGTGGTGGGGAGGGGGGTTGTGTGTGTGTGTGGGGGGGGGGGTCGGAGGGTGTTTACCTTAGTTATTTGTAATCATCTGTTTATGCAGACGAGGATGATTTTCCATTTGCTGTTGTTTATACAATATAATTATAAATCATGTCAGTGGTAGGATTTATTTATATAAGTTATTGGTTCCTGAATATTAATATAGCCGCTACATTATAATAATTCAAAGATTCACTTTAGGTTTTCTAATAATCTGATTTAACCCAATGTCTTACAGATCGTCAACCAGTGTTACGGTCGTTGATATTTAACCACATGCAGTTGTATCACGTTAGCTTTCGTATAATTATTACTTACTACATAATGGTGTACGATATTGGTATTGTTAAAATTGTAAATTGTACTTCGCCTGATATGATAACAAATATATCTGATCAAGAAATGGGTCGACGCTGTTCGACAAAAGTCAAAGGCTTAGCGAATTGTAGTGCGGACGACATGTAACTTGGTATTCGTTCTGTTTTCATATGACGTTACAATTCTAAGATGGCGAGGAGTTACATCTTATTTAACTTTCTTTCAGGATTATTATGGTCAAGATCATTTGGTACAAGCAAGTCATCAGCATGCTCTAACTATTATCACCCGTATTGGATTAAGCCTTTCTATCATTGGATTAGGATTAACAGTTTTAACCTTTCTGGTCTATAAGTATGTTTATTTTAATCTTTCGTGTATCGAATTAGAAATACATAAAACAAATTGCAGTAAAATATGTCACATTAAATTTTATTTTTTCTAACATAGAACATATTTAAAATTATGTATACTGACTTTAAGGGCACTCAATAATGAAGCACCATAATATATTCAAGATCTGCCCACTCCATACAAATCCAACGAGAGCTTAAGATCGCAGAACAAGTCATTATTTTAGTGATTTGTGCTGCCATACGGCAACAGACGAAATGATCTTTACACTTTGCAGCATCTTTTCTCTAGACTTTTCTACTCTTAGACATCAAAAAATCAATTCTATTTGACCAAAATAAATAACAACATAACCAGACAAACTTTAAAGGCATAAAGGATTGTTTGTGATATACAAATTCTATGTTGATTGATATGTTGATTTCTAGACACTGACACAATCAACAACATTGGTGTTCTATAATAATTGGTCACAAGATCTATAAATAGTTCATGTTTATAAAAGAAATCCAATAGACTACAGTATCTTTATAATAAAACAACCCAAGGTGAACCAGTTTGACGCGGGGAGGTTTTATTAATCAAACCCTGTTTGAATAATTGTTGCTGAATTTGGGGAGGGGTTATTTTCTGGCCCAATATTGATACAAGGTTTGGGAATATACTATCGTGGCTATTCAATTTATTTTCCAGAACACTACGAGAAAGTCAACCACATCAAGTCATGTTTAATTTAGCATTAGCCCTGTTGTTTTCGTGGATCGTATTTTTGACGGGAATGAAGCAGACTGGTAATCACGTGGGTTGTATTGTTGTAGCGGTCTTGTTACATTATTTCATAATGGCGTCCTTCATGTGGATGTTAGTGGAAGGCATATTACAATATTTTCTGTTTGTAAAAGTTCTAGGAACTTATGTAAGAAAGTTTATGCTTAAGGCAACAATTCTAGCCTGGGGTAAGAAAATATAACCAATCAACTACATTATATCTATCTTTGGTGACACAAATTGAATATGGAATTTAAAAAACTTGGATTATGGGAGAAAAAGTATCGAAGTTTCATACCTTGACATGTACCAGTAATCCAACACAATTTGTGTAGGGAACGACATAGTAAGTGCAGGAGGACCGCACTACAAACAAAACAAAACCGACAAGATAAACTAGTGTAGCAAGATATCTTCAATATTCTAACATTATAAATTATCTGTGAAGCAAGCTAAAGATACCTTTAGTATTTTAACATTATAAATAATTTTTGTAGAAATCTAACAATATTTATATATGACAGGTTTACCAGTTCTACCAGTTGTGATCATGTTATCTATTGATGTAGAATTGTATAACGGTGGTGAAACATAGTAAGTATTTATAATGATGTAGAACGATGATAACATAATTCAGGTGTTTTTCCCAGCTAGATGTATATTTAATGATCAGTATCAACTCTTACACTAAACTACACGCAGGGATCCATCTACGTCATACTTCGAGATAATGTTCTCAGGCGGAGCTAGCTGTAGACAGGCAGCCTAAGTTTGGGATGCTCTTACACAAAGTGAATTTCCATTGTTTGGACATAGTGTTGATGATACGTTAAATCTATTTTGTTTTGTAAATGAAATTAAATGAAATGGGGTTTAACGTTCCACTGTCCTGGCCCGACTGGACTAATGAAGGGGACATGCGTCGTGTAGTGTGCTATGATGATAATTTTACCCGGACAGCGGCGCTTCGGCCTACTCTTATATCGAATTCCAACTTCCGAGGGTTATTTTACGTGACGTTTACACTGGACCTCGGTTTTTCCTGCCATCCGAAACAACTTGGGTCTTGAAATAATATATATATGTAAATTACCTCCCCTTATATTCCAGTTGTTGGATGGGACTACAGGGATTGTATTATGGTTTTGCTCTACCTCTTGGTTTGATTATATTGGCTAATATTATCATCTATATCATGGTCACGCGCAGTATCTGTAGCAGAAAAAATCTCAACACCACAGACCTACAACACTCAGTTGCCAACACCAGAGCTTCGTTCTGCTGTTTCATTTATTTAGGTGAGTTGAAATTTTGAAATCTATACTTGACAGAAACAAAAACAAAGCCAAATGTTATTTGGATACTATCAAAAAACAAATCCACATTTTAATGTTATTTGGATGATGTCAAAAACAGATGCCCTTGGGGGAATTAATGAATTTTATTGTACCTTGGGTAAATAGAATATCTCACAAAAGTAGAATGCTTACATGAAGACACATTTGACCATATCGGGTGTTTTTTAAAGCGCGTTGCATTCAAACTACTTCCATTGACAAACATTGTCAACTATTACAAATTCTCCCGTTCGTTCGATGGGTTTGATGTCCACCTTCACCCACCCTCGTTCTACTCCACTATACCCTGGATTCACCAATACAGTATTCACGTATACAAATTATCCGCTTTTGATCGTAGCTTGATTCTACGAACCAATTATAAACCAGTCCTAGCCTCATTGTTTACGTTTATAACAATATGGCGGCTTGTTCGCTCGATTATTATAAAGTTATCACGAAAATTTATATAAAAGAAGTGACGTGCACACAAAATGGTGTCCTAGAACAAGATGTCAGTGACAAGTCATTATCAAGCGTAATGGTCGATAAAAATAGCACAATCACCACGGGCAGATAATTTGAACGGAATGGGACAGCTGGGGATACCGAGGATGGACATCACCGAGGTTGATATTTCAGATCAGGATCTATATTCATATCTTTCTTTTATATTTTAGGATTAACCTGGGTTTTTGGATTTTTGGCAATATCAGATGCTCGTCTGGCGTTTCAGTACATCTTCACAGTACTCAACTCTCTACAAGGCTTTCTGATATTTATACTATTCACTGCCAGAGATAAGAAAGTCAGAGATTACTGGAAACAACGTTGCTGTTCCTACAAAACCTGCAGGAGAAGAGCACCAAATCCTTCAAACACCACCACTTCTTTATAAGGGTGATTTTCAATTTAACTGATATCAGACAAATGTCGTCAATTGCCAAAATAGCGATATTTAACAGATAAAAATATAAAGAAATTAAATCCAATAAAATTAATCAAAAGGTTATGTGAAATATTAAAGTAGTTAAGCCTCTAATTCAATATCATCCAAAGTCATTCACAATGAAAACACGTATTATTTGTCTATTTAAATCAACATTGATGTTGCGATCTTATGGGGAAAAGATGGGCCTCTAATATCCAAAATTGAAAACAAAATAAACCATTTACCATTGGAACATGAATCGTGTACCATAATGCGTTTCAGCGCCATTTGTAACAAGGAACTTGAAGAATGAGGCTAGATATATTCAACAAGTTATGTCAAACGGTGACGACATATTCTTATCTGGAGAGCATACGTAATAGATACTATCGGTGTAGAGATTTCCGTTCGATAGAGACGTCTGAATGTAAATCAGTTTATATACATTCATACTACAGTATTATATGCGTTGCGACCGATTTGTGTCAATTTCTAGGTCCCAAATATCAGTTATTTAGCTCCTTTAATGAATCCATAAATTCTTTCGATCCTTGGATGCAATATAATTTATCATCACAATCCATAAATTCATTAAATGGATATATATCATCACAATCCATAAATTCATATCACATTCATCGTAGATCCAAGCATTCAATATTATGTATCATCACAATTCTTAAGTATTGGCGACAGTAGATACACGAATACAATGTAAATATAATCACTATCCAACCGGGACGGATTGGGGCCTGGAACCGGCCAGGGGTCCCGTGTCGGAGCGGCCCCTTTTAAAGACCGTGGAGCCTGGACGGGGTGGGGGTGTGTCTGGTGGCTCTCCCCCTGGACAATTTTGAAAAATGAACCCCAAATATGCGATTTGGTGGCATATCTGATTATAATCTCTGTCAAATAATATATCTCATAAATCGATTAATTTAGGCCTAAACCCTGACCAGCAAGTAATTTACAACCATCAACCTGTGATGTCAAGGAATGTTTTAACACCAGCCTCAGGAAATCGTCTCGAACTCATATTCAGCCAGCAGACCAGCTATCATCACATTTTGCCGAGGCCTTAAAATTGAATATTTTTTGTGGGGAGTTACGAACCATCGGCAGACGTTTCTGGCGTATCCCCACAAACTGGGTGCAGGTGACTTAATAATTAGTAAATTTGCGGGCGACAGTGTCGGGTGAATCCGATGATATTTTCGGATGAAATTCGGAATCCCCATTGCAGGATTCCGAATTCCGGCCTACACCCAGCACACCCGGCCCAGAAAGTCTATTATACCAGCCCATTCCAGACTCCAGTGATGGCGTGGCGGCCCGTTAAAGCCACCGGCCACAAACGACATGATCACCATCGTTCCATGGCCGGTCCAATCCCCCCCCCCGCCATATAATGTTCAGCAAAAAAAGGTTTTTTTAGACGAATTGGACAAAATTATTTTTTTCATTTTTTGTCCGACCGGTCCTTCGGGCCGATGGCCCAATTCGCCCCTGCTATCCAGCAGTAGGTTATCTTAGATACACGAATACAATATATGTATCATTACAATCCAACAGTAGGCTATCGTAGATACACCAATACAAGTAAGGGTTATCGACTGAGACAGAGGGGTTTAAGTTAGATGAACACCCGAGCTCGTGCAGAGTTGTACACTGAGAACGCGCAGCGTTCGAAGTGTTCAATTGCACGAGCTCGGGTGTTCATCTAACTTGACCCCGAGGTCAAGGTCGATAACTCACTTACACACTGGATTCTTTATTTGTGTAAGAAGTTGAATGAATGAAAGAAAATGGGAGGATACGTGACGGAAGATTATCACGGACACTTTATCACTCAAAATCGCTTTACCAATTCGTCTGTAACAGGTATCAATACATTATTCTGCACGTCATATATTGTTGCTTACTCAGCAGATTGGAGAGGGGTCCATAACCTGAATATAGCCAGTTTATGTTTGTTTATTTACGATGCATACAAATCAGATCATTCCAATGTCAGGTTTTTGAAATACAATTTTAAGAAATTTAGATTGGTGTACCGATAAATGTATTTTATGCCTATTTGCTGATTTCGGGTTTTCGACAATTTTTTATACGCCCACATGTCATATATTGTCGTCGCCCCCGTCTGTCAGTCCACCCGTCTGTTGTCCACGCTCTGGAACGCTAAACGATTAAGGTCACTAGGAGAATAAGCCTATTGATTTTCAATGATTTCCGATAAAAAAATTTGTATACTAAATGCTAGTACAAGGCAGAACTGGAAGGCAAATAAGTCTGACTGCTAGGGCGACTTACATACTGTGGGCGTATGTGGGGAGAGAGAAATGGAGTTTAACGTCCACTCAACACAAACTAGGTCATTTCGGGACTAACATATGGTTTTTAATTTTATTTCAATAATTCGCTTGCGCGTAGGGGTCTTTAGCAGTGGGAGGAAACCGGAGGACTCGGAGAAAACCCACGATGTCTATTCTAATTAAAATAAATATTACATTATCCATTGGCCTGTTGTGAATTTTAAAAATAGATTGGCAGGCAACGAAACATACGCCCACAGAGAGAGGTAGAAATGGGGTTTAACGTCCACTCGACTCAAACTGGGTCATCTCGGGACTATCATGGTTCCATTTTATTTCAATAATTCGCTTGCGCGCATGTGTTTTTAGCAGGGGGGGGGGGTCGGAGGACCCGGAGAAAACGCACGAGGTTGGACGGGTGAACCTACTCCTTGTCACGTACAACCGGGGATTCGAAACCACGCGCCAGTTGACACAATGACAGGTCGTATGATACAGCACACACGTGCTAACCATTCGGCCATCCAACCCCCCGGCGAATGGTGGGGAGATTGGTTGGCTGAATGGTTAGTGCATGCGCGTTGCATCATAACGTCTGTCGTTGAGTCAAATGGCGTGGTTTCGATTCCCCGGTTGTACGTGACAATGGGTAGGTTCACCCGTCCAACCTCGTGCGTTTTCTCCGGGTCCTCCGCCCCCCCCCCCCCACTGCTAAAAACACATGCGCGCAAGCGAATTATTGAAATAAAATGGAACCATGATAGTCCCGAGATGACCCAGTTTGAGTCGAGTGGACGTTAAACCCCATTTCTACCTCTCTCTGTGGGCGTATGTTTCGTTGCCTGCCAATCTATTTTTAAAATCCACAACAGGCCAATGGATAATGTAATATTTATTTTAATTAGAATAGACATCGAAAGGGAACGATTAAAACTATCTAAAAAAAATGGCCAAACAGAACTTTATCCCAGTTCGCTAGGTTTTGTGTATTTGTTCATTATACTATAGGATGAGTTTTCTAGCTAATGTTACTATTTCACAAACTATAAATCATTGAAACAACATTTATTTATTGTTTTAACTATATGTATTTATCTTTTTTAATTAACACGATGTTTCTTGCTATTAATACTGTGGGTTGCACATGATGATAGTACCTCGCCGATACGAAGTCGGGGGGCGCTCTGTAATCACTAGTTCGAACGCTGGTTGTTTAGTAATTGGGTTTATTGTCGATTCAACTCATGTAAACAATACAGGACGGCTTACAAAATAGTCTACAACAAAATTTATATCTACAACACAGTAAACAACACAGGTGAAAATATACGGACGTCAGGCGCCCACCATCGTGCATCACCGCATGGCTTCTAATTTAGACCATAATAATCAGTTACGATGACAATAATACAGATAATTCAACCGGACACATGGATGCGGCGCTCATCGGCTGCATTCCGCGTTCTTCGTCTTTTTACACAAAATACTAATTTTGGGCATAACATACCGGCCCCTATCGAATGAATATGAAATACAAATTGACATGACCAAAATTTACAAGATTAACATGTACAACTAAAAATGCTTATTCTTCCCTGAGAATATAAAATTAATGTCTGCACTCAGTCTTGATAACTACACTCATAATGTATCTTAAATAATATAATCAATATTCAATATACATAATATCAAACTATAGAAACATTTATTTTAATCTTAAGATTCTATCTTTAATATCATCACTAAAGTATCAATTTGTAATTCTTAAGCCATAACTCAAAAGTTTATATTTCCACAGTTCTCAATGTTCTTAGTTCATGAATCACGACGTAATTCGCAAATACTGAATTTACAAACTACAGTTCACTTGATGCTGTACGACAGCTTTCTAAACAAATTCGATGGTGAATACGGAATTCACATATCGAAGTTATCTATTTCACAGTGTAATAAGCGAATGCGGAATTCACAAAATTACAGTTCTAGTTCTTAAGGGCAGGGTTCATGGTTTCTAGTGTAATGGCGAATACGGAATTCACAAATTACAGTTCACGGACATGAGCCTACTAAAATTCACATTTCACAGTGTAGCGGATACACACTAAAAACTTCAGTAAACTAACTTTCACAGTTCACGATTCACGGTGTAGCGGATACACACTAAAAACTTAAGTTACTAAATTTCAAAGTTCACGATTCACGGTGTAGCGGATACACACTAAAAACTTCAGTTACTAAATTTCAAATTTAGAATCTATCTCCATTTTCTTGTTCTAAGATTAAACATAACTTAGATATTGGTCTCACCAACGTTGTCGATTTTGTCTTTAATTTCACACTTCTAACATTACCATGTTTATCTTTATATGTTTCGATGATTAATCCAAGTAGCCATAAGCCTCGCGGAAGAGATTCATCTACAATTAAAGCTACATCACCATTCTGAAAATTCCTTAAAGGTTTAAGCCATTTCTGTCGGCGTTGGAGGAGGGGTAAATATTCCCTGGTCCACCTTTTCCAGAACAAATCTGAAAAAAATATTGCATTTGTCTCCATCTTCGGCGAGAATACTGATCCTCAGGAGAGAAAACACCACACGGAATAGTAGTTGAAGGCTGTAGCAACAACAAACTATGGGGAGTTATCACACTAAAAGCATTAATATCGTCTGAAACT